AAAAGTTTGTTTCTTGCGACCATCGCCGACTGCCACCTGCTTGAAAAATAGATCAACTTTATCTATGAGAAATGAGTAAAAGTTGTTTTTTCCTCAACAAGCAAGGAAATAATCAACTGAAGTTTGACAGAAATCATGAACTTTGCATTGAATGGGGCCATTTTGTGCCTTGGTGGGAAATTTCGAAACACATCGGCTGTCATCTGTGACGATCACCGATGAGAACTTTCGTGCGTTCGCGCTCGGCGAGTATCGGCGATAAGAGTCGCCGATCGTCGGTGACAGTTTGCGATGAATGAGAACTAGGCTTAAAGCAAAGAGGTCCTAAAATAGAACCTTGTGGGACACCATAATTGATCTCAGTGCTACCAGATAATTTGTTGTCATACTTAACCCTTTGCGTTCTAGTAGTGATGTAATCTTTAAACCAGTTTAACGAATTACCCCTTACTCCATAATGTTCAAGTTTATGTAGTAAGCATTTGTGGTCCACCAAATCAAAGGCCTTCTTGAGGTCAATGAAAGCAGCCCCACACAAACGCTGCCTGTCCATATGTTCTATAATTCTATCAGATAAATAAACTATTGCCGTTTCCGTCGAGTGCTTCTTTCGAAAGCCAGATTGAAATTGGGATAACACACTATTCTCATTAAGAAAATCGACTAGTTGAATTTGAACTGCTCTTTCCATTATCTTCGATAGGACTGGAAGCAGTGATAGGGCTGCACAATAATAGGGCTGCACAATAGCAGCAGATAGGGCTGCACAATAGCATTATACAGTATAGCATTTTTAGTGTCAGTGGTGGAACAGAAGGCTTAACCCGTCGCATTGCACCAATACTAACCTGAAGTTCAGGCCCTAATTTGAAATAGGGCCTGACACAAAACCTGTCTAGACCGTGGGACGCCCACATGTTATTTTTAAACACACATGCAATATATTGACAAGTGTTGTAGATTTCGTTACACAAAAAAATTATATTCTCATGAACATGTCCGCAGAGCATTTTGCTTTTTAATTAAACTTAAAAATTCAAGGTACTTTTATATAATTAAGAGTCAGTTTCTCTATTTAACCGAACAGGCGAACAGCAAACAAAGATTTAATTAGTCAGTTCTGTGCACGGCTTGACTGCCAAGCTTTCTCAAGGTCTCAACTTGCTGGACGCGGATATACTCTAACGACTAACGGGCTAATAACAGCAACAATTAAATTCTCAATCATACCACGAAGAAGGCGATGTAGCTCAGAAAACAACGCCGGTAGGACCTGATATTAAAAATAAGACTTTTGCCGGCGAAGCAAGTTGGCAGAACATCTTGGCTGTCAACAACAAGCTTTCGAATACAGGACTAGTTTGGCTGTTCTTTCAGCGTCGTGTGTGTCCAAAATTCGTCAAAGATTTTGATGAAGCCCTTTCAAAATACTGTTTGTTTGATTTATTTTCTTCCATAAAGCATAAAAGAAAAGAAATTCGAAGAAATCGATAATGGAATTTGTTACGTGCGTTTGACCTTTATATTAATTCTCGCCTTGACCGAGCTATTTTTAAAACTGTTGTTTATGTGAACTTGCAACCAATCAAAATCCTTCATGATGCTGATCAACCAATCAGATTTCCCGTCCACCAGCTGGACGGGAATCCCACACTTTAGATAGGTTTTGTGTCAGGCCCTATTCTGTGATAGGGCCTGAACTTCAGGTTACACCAATACAGACACCAACCGTTGAACAAACAGTATCAATAGGTTTTTCCCGTGAAAGACTTTCTTTCATCCATATTCATGCCAAGGCATGAATATTTATGAGTCCTGGGTATATTGTATTATTATTTATTAGAATAGGCTTATTATATTTTTTATTCTTAAGGTTATAGAAAGATCCAATACATATGTTTACATTCACTGGGATGGATTTGAAACTCGTTATGCATGTATCATCCATTTATACGTATATATGTTCAGATCAAGGTTTACTTTTTTTTATAACTTATTACTTATTTTTATTTCTCAAGGATTTATACAAAAGGTTAATTTAATTTAATTTGCTTAATTAAATTAAATTAAATTAAATTAACCTTTTGTATAAATCCTTGAGAAATAAAAATAAGTAATAAGTTATGAACAACAAAGGTGAAAGTTTCAGAAACAAGATTAAGGTTTACTTTGTTTACAAGATCAGCACAGTTATCAGAAGATGCATAAATTTCTGTGTGGTGATGGGCTTTCACTTATTAATCCCTTAAACTCAGAAAATTGCCTTTGCAGCAATTATGTTTTTCTGTCGTGAGTCTTATATAGGTCTTCTAGGTGTTCTTGCAAAGCCAAATTTCAAAGTTTATGAGTTTAAGTAAGCAATAACTCATCATCCCTTGCGCGCTCAGAGCTTAACTTTAAGGTTTAAGCTTTTGGAAAGACAATCTTAATTGAATTAGCTGTATATAATAAGAATAATAAAGGTAGACCCTTGCGTTATTTCACATATTATCGTTTTCGGATTTGAAAATTGACCATTTATTGCTGCTCTCTGCTGTTCCGAAAAGATTGCACATTTTACCCAACAATATTTTGTGATTTATGGAATCGAAAGCTTGATTGCTATGTAGCTGAATACCTCTGGCTGAACACTAATTCTACATGTTATTTCTCAATCATCCATTATATCTCAATTTTGTTTTAGGGGGGATGATTTAAACGAGGTTATGCAAAACCTAGTATATATTGTGTGCTGTACTTCCTAAAGTACCAGTCGTTATTGCTATGACTGCTACAGCAAATAAATTTGATCGAAGCCGAAGGCACATAAAAATCACTTGGCTTGCATAATTGCTTTGAGTTGGTTGCAAATTCTGACCGAAAGAACATATTTTACGAAAAGACATTCAGATATCATAGGCAAGAAATATGCCTTGGAGGACATTTGCAGACCAATTTATGCTGTAGTGTATGCAAAACACAATGTTTTTGTGTTGAGTGTAGTTTAGATATGGAAAGGGAATGTTTTTACCTGATTAGATAAATATTTTTGGGCCTGTAAAATATTCTTGACTTTGTACCAAATGAATATACAATTCATCACAAATGTGAATTTTGTTGAACTCAGTTTTCAAAGTGGGCATTTCATGGACAAAATTTACTTCATGGACAAAAACCCATACAGCAGAACAAATTGTAAATTGAATACATATGTATATATACAGTATACTGTAACCATACAGTTATTTCAATTAAGATTGTCACAGACAATAGTTAGATGTACAATATGATTGCCAAATGAATACCATGCATTATTCATAATGGTAGTTTTGAATAGGTGTTAACCTCAAATATATTATAAATACTAATTTAATTTGTATTCCCATGAGACTGATGAAATGTTAAAGTAAGACCATTTTTAGCGTTCAATTGTACATTTAACTATTGTCTGTGCATATACTAACCTTAATTGGAATAGCTGTATATTATATTATAATAGGACAAGTGCAAATTGTGCATCTAATCCTTTCAAGCTGGGGTGGTCTAGGTAGCCTGTGCTACAGTACAGCCATACAAATCATTGTTGTTCAAGTGTTACAGTATTCACAGTCCTAATCCTCTTCATCTTCTGACGTGTCCTGCACTGGTAGTGCTTGGTGAATGTTCCTCTTGTGTTTGTTTAGTTGGTCATGAAATGCAGAATTGTCTAATGTTGCTAATCTATCTGATGATATATCTGTGAAACCTTCATGAAAATGATCATTGATGCTTGTAAATGGTTTTAATTCCAAGAGATCAGATAAAATATTTTCATCTTTCTCTGAAGATTTGTGCTTGTGAGAGGATCCTTCTTGACTTAATTCCTACAGCTACGTCGAAGTTGTTTATCATTTCTGCAATCCCTCCCGTTGCTCTACTTAACCATTCGATTGACTTGAGTGTTTTTTTGGCCCCATTCTTTTGATTTAATGTTAATTTAGAAAGATTCGAAAGTCTGTCATCACACACAAGAGTTCCACAATTTACAATTTCTGCGATATGAAGCAGGTTTTTATTTCGCTAGCTTTAGAAATAGGTTTTTGCAATACTTCTTGTCGACAAAATACCACCACAAAGGCGACGTTCCGAAAACAAAACGGATTCCGAAAACAAAACGGATTTCGGATAAATCATCTTTGGAGTTTCCTTTCGCTGTGCCATAGCTTGAGAGCTACTGAGGGGCTGATTACATGGAGAGTAGTCAGCCCGGTTAAACGAGCTGAAATTGCATTACAACGATTACATGAGTAGTTTGAGCCCGGGCTGAGTTTAGCCAGAGCTATATTTATCAGCCCGGGCTGAAATAATCTCTAGTGTCACGAAATAGGACAATAAGCCTGTTACGTTTCTTTGAAGCAATCAGACGCTGATTAGTGGACTATTTGGCTTGTATGAGACTGTGGTTGTAAAGAATTTAAAGATGAAACAAACACGCAAAATAAAGCCATTTAAATGGTTGTTTTTTTTAGCCCGGGCTGAAATTATTTGCGATTACATGCTGCCGGGCCGAGTTTCAGCCCGGGCAGCTCAAACCGGGCAGAAATTTCAGCCCGGGCTGGAATTTTGGTCATGTAATCGCTTGCTGTGTTTTAATAGGATTTTATCCTTAGGTCGGGCTGAAATTTCAGCCCGGGAAACCGGGCTGAAAACTCTCCATGTAATCAGCCCCTGAATGACTTTGTATAAAGTGTGCATTCGACCTTTATTTTCTTTGCGTTGATAAATAAACGGCTCCACTTCAAGGTGTAAAACAGACCTACAACCATGCAAATTATATCATGTAGCCCAAGCGCAGGTAAAAGACCCTGCATGCATGGCTTGCGAGGTTGTCCTTTTCCCGGGTGTGCTCCGGATGTAAATATAGCCAAGCGGCCTGGCGCCGTTGGTTCGGGGATTATTAAATAAATTGTTATTGTTATGAGCTGTACAGTACATGTTGTTGATCATATTTATCAACATGTTTATGATTCAAATATTTGACTAGGGTATTTAATTTCGCGTGTGTAAATTTCGCAAGGTATTTTATTCGTACGAATAAGGTACCAGGTGTCCAGTAACTAAAAATATTCCCTACAAAACAATTCAATGGTTATAACATTGCAGTATAAAAAAGTGACATGCAAATGAATGTTTAGCAAGCCCGCGTATACAGTATAAGCAATGGTTTTATAATTGTGATATGCCCTGAATCAACATACCAAATCACGATCGGAACTAAGCACGAACGTTATGATGGTTATCCCATTATTTGGTAAGGCAACAATAATTAGCATTTTATTCTGGCGAACATCCGAGCACTTTAAACACAGTGCAGTAGGTAGTATAGCTGAACAATACAACCCTGTTTAATACTTTTCAAGGCCGTCGAAAGTAAATTCTTTTGTGTGTTTTTCTTATACAAATGGAAATTATTAGGGGGGCTTGAGGGGCTCGAGCCCCCCCCCCAGCCCCCCCCCCCTCACTTCCCCCGCTTCCGACGGCCTTGCTGTTTAACCTGAATACTATATGCCCAGTGCGAGAAGTTAAGATCTACTTACCTTTAGCTGTAGCAACCTCTCCATCTGGGTGAGCAAGCTTTTGCCCAGCTGTTGGAGCAACACATACTGGATAGTCAATTTTATCTCCAAGTACTGTTGTTGATGTATTGATGATGGACACATCTCGTAGAATTCTTGGACGTAATCTTAATCTGATAAGTACATTTATACGGGGTTACATAGAATTCAAATTCAATATCAAGGTGCCTCTTTTAACAGATTAACCTAATTTGACAGATGCATGCATGAGTGCTTTATTCCCTTTAAAAAACAGAAACCATAATAATAGTAGTATGAAGGGGGGGCCTCAGACACAATACTTCATGTAAGACAAAATATAGTGTCTCCACCTTATATATTCCAAACACATTCTCTCCTCCCCGTTTTCTATAAATTCCCCGCCCCCACATTTCCCGAATATTTTCAAAAACTTTCCCCACCCCTTGTTTTTTCAAATCATGGTTGGAATCTTTGTAAAAAATTTTCCCCAAGTCTTTCGTCCTCAAGTCGTCGTTCCCGTTCGTCCCCAAGTCGTTGTGAGGATTTCCTGTGAGGACCTTCCTACGACACTTTAAAATTTCGCTACGAAGAATCGTAGTGAAATCGCGTGTTGGTGTTCATCAAGTATTTATGAGAGACGGTGGAAAAGAATGAGGGGAACGTTCGGTTTTCCCCACGGTTTTTCTGAAGATCTGTCTCCCCATTCTCCCACATTCGTCGGACCATCTTCGGAAATCGTCGGAAAATGCTCGTTGTAAATAAAAAAAATAAATTTTTCTTAGAAGTATATAATAAAGACGTTCGAAACTCAGACTTGTATTACTAACCATTTTTTTTTCCATACTCGTCCGGAGTATGGAAATTTTTTTGTAATAAAATGGTAGATAGTAATACAAGTGTTTCGGATAACCTATTAGATTTCAACGAACGTCTTCGGGAGGATGTTCTCAAATTATTTCGCGAGGGAAAGACGTTTAAAACGGAAAAGGAAATTAACGACCGTTTTGACGAATACGCGCGAAAAGAGAAGCGACGGATGATTGGAAAAGATATTAAATCTGCGGCGAACGAATTTAAATATCGTCGCCGATTAACCGAAAGAGAGGGAAAAGAGTTTCGCCGCCAGAATGAATGGAGACTTCGCGACGAGAAGAAATGGGAGAAAGAGATTGTGAAAGAAGAGAAGAGTCGGTACAAGGGATTGTCTTATTGGAAATCCGAGGCACAAAAATGGAAGAAGGAATCTCAAAGACTTCGTAAGAACGAAAAGGCACGTCAAAAGTATGCGGAAGTTCGTTATCGGAAATTAATGTCGGGGGAAGGGAAAATTCGCGGTGAAGACTTTACACCTGTTTTAGAAAGACAGGCGTTTCAAAGATGCGTGCAAAAGTATACGATCACACCGAAAAAGAAGTACGAGCCGCGTTATTTTTTAGATATGACCGGTCGTCACGTTTGCAATCTCGTGGATTCGACGGAGGGTTCGAAAAATGTGAGCGTGAGTTTGGTTTGCGTCATGAAAAAGGTGAACGGAATTACAGGGGTGGTAACGAGAGACACGTCTCATTTTTTGTCGAAAACTTATAAGATAACGGGAAGAAGTTTAAGAGATGGAATTTGGGATGAGATGAAAGAAAAAGTGTTGGAATCTTTTGCAAAACATCAACGAAACGGTAGTAATTGGACGTTGGAAAAAATAGTCCGATTGGATATTAACATCGACGGATATAATCCGACCGGGGCTGCGGGATTTGTACAATTACCGAAAGGGTATACGAAAGGAAAAGGGATCGTCAACATGCAAAATACTGACGATCAATGTTTCAAATGGGCGGTAACGCGTGCTTTAAATCCTGTGGGAAAAAATCCTGCTCGAATTACAAAAATTCTTCGTCTTCAGGCAGAGAAATTGGATTGGACTGATATAAATTTTCCGACTGGAAAGAAAGATATCGTTAAATTTGAGAAACAAAATCCCGGTGTCCGTATCAACGTTTTTGGATTCGACGAATCTTTAAAAATTTATCCGTGGTATATCTCGGGAAAACCGGGTATCGTTATTAATCTGGTATTGTGGAACGAACATTTTGGTGTCGTCATGGAAATGTCGAGATTTCTGGGAAAACAATTGAGCAAGCACAAATGTAAAAAACACATTTGTAACAATTGTTTGAATGCGTTCGGTTCCGAACAGAGATTAAAGGTTCATCATGAATTATGTTTGGATCATGAGGCGCAAACGTGTTTGTATCCAAAAGAGGATAATGAGGGTTTAAAATTGAAAGATTATCATAAGATTCACGACGTTCCGTTTACGGTCTATGCGGATACGGAATCTTTATTGAACCATTATCCTCACGACGAGAAAGAGAGTTTAGAATTTTCACACACGACGAAAACACAAAAACACGAGGCGTGTAGTTTTGCGTATCTGATCAAATGTTTCGACGACAACATTTATCCTCCGAAATACGTAAGTTATACACAACAATACGAGGGCGAAGACGTGATGGCAAGATTTTACGAGTTGTTGGAGGCGGACACAAAAGAGATTTACGATCGATTTAAGGTCTCCGTTCCGATTCGAATGGAACCGGACGATCTCAAAGATTACGCAACATCCGATCGGTGTTATGCATGTTACGGTCCGTTCACGAAAGATAATAAAAAGGTGCAAGATCATTGTCATTTCACGGGAACGTATCGTGGCGCGGCTTGTAACCGTTGTAATTTAAGAATGAGAAATCCAAATTTCATTCCGGTCTTTTTTCATAATTTAACGGGTTACGATGCGCATCACGTCGTGAAATGTTTCGGGGCGAGCGAAGGCGATGTGAATTGTATTGCGCAAACGAGTGAAAAGTACATTTCGTTTACGAAAGCCGTGTTGGTCGGAACGTGCGTTCGTAAAGTGAAAGAGAAGGATGGAAAGATCGATGAAAAAACGGTCAACGTTTATCGTAAATTACGGTTTGTGGATTCGTTTAAATTCATGTCGGAATCGTTGGGAAAACTCGCCGAAGATCTTGGTGCCGACGACTTTCGATTAACGGATGAAATGATGGGAAATTAAACGACGGATCAACGTCGATTATTAAAACAAAAAGGGGTTTATCCGTACGAATGGATGAATACATTTCAAAAATTTTCCGAACCTTCTCTTCCACCGCAAAAAGAATTTTACAGTAGTTTGAAAGACGAAGATATTGCGGACGAAGATTATAACCATGCTCAAAAAGTATGGAAGGCTTTCGGAATAAAATCCACGCGCGACTATCACGATTTGTATTTAAAAGTAGATGTTTTACTCTTGGCGGATATCATGGAAAGGTTTCGTGGAATTTGTAAGGAACATTACGATCTGGATCCTACCTGGTATTATACATCGCCGGGTTTAGCCTGGGATGCGTGTCTGAAAATGACACTCCATTTGGATTTGATTTCCGATCCGATCATGTTTAATTTTATCGAAAAGGCAAAACGGGGTGGAATTAGCATGATCAGTCAACGGTACGGCGAGGCAAATAATAAGTACACGAAAGATTTTGATCCGAAAAAGAAGAGTACATTTTTACCGTATTTGGATGCGAATAATTTGTACGGTTGGGCGATGTGTGAAAAACTTCCGTTTGGAAATTTTGAATGGATGGATTTGGATCAGTTGAAAAAATGGGATAAACTTCCTCGCGGAAAGGGTTGTTATTTGGAAGTGGACTTGAAATATCCCGAGGAATTGCACGATTTGCACAACGAATACCCATTGGCACCCGAACGTCTTCGTATCGGTAAAGTCGATAAATTAGTTCCAAATTTAAACGATAAGAAAAAATATGTCGTTCATCACGCGATGTTAAAAAAATGCGTGGAATTGGGATTGATCGTGACGAAAATTTATCGCGGTCTAATGTTTTCAGAACGGGCATGGATGAAAGATTACATTCTATTGAATACTAGCTTGCGTCAAAAGACCAAGTCGAATTTTGAAATTAGATTTTTTAAACTGATGAACAATTCAGTGTTTGGAAAGACGATGGAAAATGTCCGTAATCGTATCAACGTTCAACTTGTCAACAACGAAAAGAAATGGAACAAGTTAGCGAAAAAAAGTTATTACGTGTCGACGGATATTTATACCGAACACTTGGCTCTGGTTCACATGCGAAGAACGACCATTCGTCTTGAAAAACCCGTTTACGTCGGTGTTGCCATACTAGACATTAGTAAAACATTAATGTATGATTTTCATTACAATTACATCAAGAAGAAGTATGGGAATCGGGCACAATTACTTTTTACGGATACGGATTCGCTCCACTACGAAATTACAACCGATGATTTTTTCAAAGATATCGCTCCGGACGTTTTACAAAAATTCGACACGAGCAATTTCCCAAAGTCACATCCGTCGGGTATCTCATGCGGAAAAAACGGAAGGGTGATCGGCATGATGAAATCCGAAACGGGTGCGAAACAGATTAAGGAATTCGTAGGGTTACGTCCAAAGTTATATTCTACTCTCAAGGACAGTGGAGAGGAGAAGAAAAAATGTAAGGGTGTTAAAGAATGTGCCGTTGAAAAAGATTTGTCGCACGAAGATTACAAAAAGGTTTTATTTGGAAACGAGGGACATATCCGACGTGTGAGAATGACAAATATTAAAAGTCACAAACATGTGATTTATACCGAATGTCAGGTGAAAGCGGCACTATCGGCCAACGATGATAAACGGTATATTTTAACCGATAAGATTCATACGTTGGCATTGGGTCACAAAGACATTCCGGAAAAAGCGCGCATGCTCCCGAAGATTGAATTGGAGTATAAGGGATTTTGTGAATTTCCTTCCGTTTCAGAATTGGAAGAATTGAAAAGAGGGGAGGACGAATCAGAGGAAGAAGTAGAGGATGAATCGGAGGAAGTAGTAGAACAAAAACCGGGGGGACTTACATTTGGAACGACGACGCCTCTGAATAAAGCGCAAAGAATGAAAAACCCAAATCCTTGCACCATTTCGTAAGAGAGACATAAATTTTCTCGCGAGTAAATTCAAGTAAGACTCGTCAGGAACTTTCAGTAGAATTTACGAATGTCTTTCAATATCTCGTGAGTGAGACTTGGTAAGAACTCACGACAGAATTTGAGATCGTCCTGGAAGATCTTGTGAGAAAGATGTCAGTAAATTTTGAGAAGACTTCACGAATTCTTGCAAGTAAACCCTAAGTAGACTTTAACAAATTTTTAAGTTTTTCCTCATATACAATAAATAAAATGACTGTAGAATCGGTGTCTTCAAATGTTCCGGATAAATCTTTGAACGTCCCTGTGACAAAACCAAATTCCCCGAAAATAAAGGATCCGCGTAAAGTCGCCGCGGGAAAAAGATTGGCGGCGATCAGTCAGCAGGCAAAAGCTGCGAAAAAAGCAAAATTGGAAGCGGACATGAAAGCAAACATACGCGAGACTTGTATGACGGAATCTGACGACGGAATTTTTTCCGTCGAAAAAATATGTATGATTTTTGGATTGGGAATCGGTCTCGGATCCCTGTATCTTACGTGGCGAAGTCGCTGTCACGATGAAAAGAAGAAAAGTCCCGTGAGGGAGGATGAAATTGTGGAAGAAAAGGATCCTCCGAAGGATGAAAAACCGTTCGATGACTTGTTTGATTAGGATTTTATAGACACTTGGGAAAAAATAGAAGGGGAGGTTGGAATCCGACCCCCCTTCTCAACGTCTTATGAAAAACTTCATACGATAATAAAAGAAAATGAGCATACAGATCTTTAGAAATACGACTCTGATAGGCGAAGAGGAGATTCCCACCATCAAATCCGGCGACGGCACGATTTATTTCGCGGCGAGGAGAGTCGCACTCGCACTCGGTTACGTCAACCCCGTAAAGCCGTAGTCACGCACACGAGGGAAAGGATGAGGACAACACTTGGGGAAATAAAAGGAGTATCCCAAAATGGGGTACCCCTTTGTGGGACAGGTTTTCGTCAACGTCTTATGAAAACTTCATAAGACATTAAAAGATGAGTATAGAACTATTTACCGTTCCGGAACTGCTAGGAGACGGTGAGATCACCACCGTCAAAACTGAAGACGGTACTATTTACTTCATCGCCAGGGAAATAGCGTTTGCACTCGGATATGTAAACCCGAGCGACGCAATTATCAAACACACGGACGAAAGATCGAGAACCACATTTGGAAATGTTCAGACTATAGCGATCCGCGATAGTTTAGATCCTTCCGTACGGACACGGACCGACACTGTTCTCGTCACTGAATCCGGTTTATACAGTCTCATATTCAGTTCAAGACTACCCAAAGCCAAGGAATTTAAGTGGTGGGTAACCGAAGACGTTCTTCCGTCCATCCGAAAAACGGGAAAATACATGTTACCGGGAGTGATGTCGGCTATCGACAACGTAAAAGATGACGGACTACGTCAACTCGGAAAGGACGGCAAACCGGAAGCACGAAGTAAACTCGTTCACAAGGGAAACATCGTGAAAAATCCGCGCAGGGTCGAAGCTGGAAGATCGGGAGGATTAATCGTTTAAGAAAAAATAAGACAGACTAAAAAGATATCGCGCGAAAGAGGAGCCATAATTTTAGAACTCGAAGAAGAACGGGATGAACTCGAAGAAAAGGTACAAGAACTCGAAGAAGAACGGGATGAACTCAAAGAAAAGGTACAAAAACTTGAAGATAAAATACTTTGGCTCGAAAATAAAAAACTCGCGAAAGAAGACGGGGAACAATAAAAAAATATTTCTTCTACGGCGAATCACCGTAGGAAGGAAAAAATTTATTTTTTTTTATTTCTTCCCCAGGAAATAAAAGATGTCTGATACAAAGAAAGAACTCGTTCAGGACTTGTACGATGCGGCGCTCCTGACGTCCGGGGTCGTGGGAATTTCGTACGCCGCCAAAACGGTCGTCGGAAAAAGTTTGGGAGCCCCGATGACGTTGGAAGGTGCGATGAAATTGGGATTGGCCGTGACGGGAAGTTCGTTGGTCGTCGCGTATTTAAAAGACAAAGATTACATTCCTAAAATGATCGGTAAATAAATGTCAAACGTAAGTACCACGGTAGCCGGCGGATTATTTAATGCGATCGCTTTCGCGGGTGCTGGATATTTGTTTTCACATTTTAATCGGAACGGATACGAAGACGAAATGAAAAGACATAATCGTGCGCTGGAAGACTTGGCGACGGCGAAAGAAAAATTTTACGAATCCGAAGCAAAAAGACACGACGACGAAATACGTCGCCGTCAAGAAATTTTAGACGCGAATCACGATATCGAAGAGACGAATAAAGCGTTGGACGCATTAAGAAACTATAGTCGTCGACAAGATTTATCGGCGTTGGATCGAAAACCAAAATTAGAAGATTATTATCAACCGTCGGACGAAATGCGAAAGTATTTGGTGATGACCGTTGGAATTTTAGGAGTGGGCGGTGGATTTGTGTTGACGCGAATAATTTGAAAAAAGGTGGTGAAATCCACCATATTTTTTAAATTTCAGAAATTTAAAAAATTCCTTCTCACGTCGTCACGAGAAAACATTTGAGAGTCGTTGCTTCCGTGCGTGCGGATACATTTCCCGTAGAACTGACGGTTCTAAAATTAAGACCGACCACGGTAATGACTCCGCGTGCGTACGCAAACGTAAACGTGGTACGAACGATCACATCTCGTTGTGTGACCGCATGGATGACGACGTTTCCGACACTTCCTTCGTAAAATCCAAAATGAGGAGATTGTGCACCGCCGTTGATTTCAAACCCTGCGACCGAAAAAAAAAAAATTTTACATTTTTTTGATGGGAAGCGGAAACGGTTCCGGTTTCGTAATATCCCGGTAAATATGGATCCACCAGTGTAAGATCGTACTGAACGTAATTTTTTCCGAGATCGTTTAATCTTACGATCGCATCCACATTTTTTGCGATCTCGGCCGTATGACCCTGCTGTGTTTTTTCAATCTCCGTGACTTTTTTTCCAGGGGTATCGTCTTGGAAGTAATCATATCCCATGAATATACTCATACTTTATTTACGGAATAAGAAATAAGCAACCCCCGTTGAAACAACGGCGATGATTCCCAAACCTTCCGTTGTTGAATTTGGTTGGAAGGGGTCTCCCATTTCGGGAACGGGAGCCTCTTGATTCTCGTCCGAGTCCTTCGTGGGACTTTTCGTGGAATTTGACGGAGTGGGTTCTATAGAATTATCGGTAGAACTTGGTGAAATAGGTTTCACGGGACTCGTCGTAGGACTTTTTGGAGAACTTGGTAAAATTGGTCTCACCAGATTTTTCAGAGGCTTTGTAAAATTCACGCTCCCATTTCTTCCAAAACTCATGCTTTGATTTGCCAACGTTATAATGTTATTGTAGCCTTTCAACGGTTTTTGTAAAATTCGCATGTCGGACGGAATTAAAATCAAACCCGGCATGATGACAAAATTGAGCACGACGTTCGTATCGGCGATCGCCGTTCGCATGTTTCGGATGATGACGGAGATGCTATTTTGAACGACGCTATCTTTCAACACTTTTCGAAAGACGTCTTGCGTCTGTAAACTTTTCGCGCCCTGTCCCGTGATACTCCAACGGGTTTTTGCCTGCGCTCCCAAGATACAATAGACGTACACTTCCAGAGATTGTTGAAATAACTCTCGTCCGATTTTTGTCAATCCGTGCGACGTTTTCGGAATAAAAATCTTGTGATCTTCCGCGACATTTCTCGGTGTCGATCCCGTTAAATACTCGTACGTGATGTACGTTCCGCTATGCGGTGTAAATCCGTACCGATAATTCCGAATATTTTGACGTTCCTCGACGGAATGATCGTAATACCACGTGGAAACGTTCGCGTGCGATGAGACGCGTCGTCGTTCCCATTTTTCGGTCACAGACATGTGTTTTCCCAAGACGTAAAGATCGTCTTTCGTTAAATACGATCCATGAGTTTTGGATCTTTCATGAATTTTTCCATCTGGTAATGTACATGAAATTTCACGATGGACGTGATCAACTGCGAATCGGACAACGTGTTGTTCAGATGATTTTCGGAAATTCCACATTTGAACGTGGCAACGTAACAGGCGGCCAACGAGGAAAAATAAGAATTTTTATGAGGATCGAACGAATAAAATTTCCCACGGCTCCATATTGCGGTGTCGTAAATTCTAAATTTATGGGAAAAGACTTTGTTTCCGACACGTAAACGTCGAACGCGTGAAACGGAACGGAGAAATCAAAATTCGGACGAAAGATCATGTCGGATCTCACGTTTCGCCATCCGTCTTTCCATCGTAAATATTTCGTCCATTCCGGATTGTGTAAGAACGTGTCAGACGTGATGTCGTAACTGGTGAATTCGTCGACTTTGTAAGAAATTTCGGTCGAATCCAAACGTCCGTCTTTCGCGAACGTCACTTCGAAATTAAATTTGTCCAGAGTGGCGTTCGGATATTTTTTCAAAAAATTAGTTTTTAGTTTCTGGATTTCCAATTTTTTCCGTAGTACTGACGGAATAATTCTTCTTCAGACATCTTTATTTAAAATATACAAATCCATCAAAACATCGCAGGGCATGATTTCCACAATGTTGGATTTCACGTCGAAATGAAGTTCGTGATAAATGCCCGCGTCCGCGTACACTTCGCTTTCGATGTCGTTGTATTTCGTCGTCGTGCCAAACAAAGGTTTCGTCCCGTCGATGGGAAGCGATGAAATAATATTACTGGGAAATCCGTCGGGACCTATATTTTGAGATCGGTTGACTAAATTACAACCGACCGTGACGTACCGTAATCCTTCGTGAATATCCACGGGACGTTGACTCGGATGCGTTGACAAAAACGTGGCGGTGTATCCCAACAGATTATTAAGTTTCCACGGATTAAAAGATTTAACGCTTTTTCCAACTTTTATTTGAATCCGTCCGTCTGGAAAATCTTCGACGAGACCGTGACTTTCTAATGTCTGACGTAATTGTTTAAACGTCCAATATCCTTTTTTCAACACGACTTTTTTCCCGTCGACGGAAAAATAATCGTTGTCTCCCTTGCGTATATTTTCGTACGTCCAAAACAGTGCTGCGGTCTTCACGTATAATTTGGAGACGGGCGTTAGGGTCAACGGTCTTTGTAATTTCACCGTGGTTTCTCCGTCCCGAATAAAAACTGTTATCTTTTTCATTTATTATAAATGGATGCATTAGACATTGGCTTACGCGAACTGTATTTTAACGTGAACGGTGGTTACATGTCGATGGAAAAATTATATCGGGATGCGGTGAAAGAAGGCGTCCCCGGTGTCACGCGAGAAAAAGTCAAAACATGGTTGCAGACCCAAAATACGTACATCGTTCACAAACCGACGCGAGTTCATTTTAAAACGCAACGCACGTACGTCGACGGACTTGCACAACAGATTCAAATGGATCTGGTAGATATGCATGTGTTCAGTCGTGCGAACAAAGGAAACAATTGGATTTTAACGACCATCGAAATTTTAAGTCGATACGCATTTGCCGTCCCCGTTCCTCGAAAGGATACGGAAAATATGGTTCCGGCCGTCGAACAAGTTCTAGAACAATTTCGAAAAAGATTCGGACGATATCCTAAAGTCGCCCAATTCGATGATGGGAATGAAGTTAAGAATAAAGGAGTCAAGACGTTATTGAAAGATAATGACATCCATTTTTTCTCGACGCGACTGGCCGGAAAAAAAGCGGCGATCGTCGAAAGATTCAACAGGACGTTAAAAACAAGAATGTGGAAATACTTCACCGAACAACAATTTACCGCAAAGTCTAAAAAATGGATCGACGTTCTGGATAATTTCGTAAGTTCTTACAATCATTCTAAACATCGAACGATTGATATGAAACCCGCTGACGTTAACGAAACCAACAAGGATGAAGTCTGGACGAGACTTTACGGATACCCGTTATCCCATTTCCCAAAACCAAAATTTAAAGTCGGAGATCGTGTCAGAGATCAAATTCATCGGAAAACTTTTGTAAAAGGATACACGCCTAATTATTCCAACGACGTTTTACGTCGTGTCGGAAGTGTTTCGCGGTGATCCCAACATGTACAAGATCGTCGATCCCGACGACAACAATCGAGAGATCAAAGGAAGATTTTACGAACACGAATTATCGCTGGACCTTTCGTCAGACTTATCGTAGAATTTAAGTGGTAAATAAACTATGGACATCCAACTGAACGACTTTGACCAGAATTACGACCGGGATCCATGGATAGAGAATGAATACGACGAGACGAATCTGGACGACAACGAGTTATACGACACGGCATTGGACGATTTGGATAGACAGGACGACGAAGTATGGCTGGCGGATTTTAGAGAACAAAATAAAGACGATAAGTCCACTAAAAGAAAAAGAGAAACCAATTTACTGTATACGACCGGATCGTCCGTCGTTCTAAAATCTGAATATTTAAGAAAACTTTTTGTAAGCGACTACCAATTAAATCCAAACGACGGACCGAATTCCGAAGACTTTTTTTCCCGACTGGATTTTGTCGACGGATACTGGTTGACATTCGACGGTACCAAAGTGGCTTTCATCGATAGAAATGGAAAATACTTCCTATCCAAAAATACATCCAACGTACAGAGTCTAAAAGATTTTAGAACCACCTTCGAAAAAGCGACGGAAGAACACAAAAGAACACTAAACAGTATTACGGAAGAAGAAGTTCCGGGTGGCAATCCATCGATCGTCAACGATATTTCCAACGACGTGCGCGACGAAATTCATCGTGAAAATATCGACGATACTCTTGAATTTCACGACCGTATCCTACAATTTCACAACGATGGGAAATTCACCGAACAGGAAACTAGAGAATTGGTTGGAATTACCGTTCCTAAAGGTCAACCCGACGAAAGAATAAAATTTTTAAAAGTCGAACGACAAAAAATCAAACAAGATTTCACGACAGAATCCGATCCCGACCGCAAAGATATTTTTCACGAAGCGTTAGAAATCATCGATCAAAATATCGACGATGCTAAATTAGAAATGCGACAACGTCCCGAATCTGAAGAAGGCGTGCATCGCGTTCGTGAAAAAGTACGCGACGATGCACGCACGAGATTTGAAAAATTTAAAACGTGGGCCAAAGAAAATTTAGGGGCGATCGCTGTCATCGCAATTTCCATTGCGGGTATTATTACGACCGTCGTCGTTGCAGGAAAAAAGACGTTGGTCGGACTCGCGAAAGGAACGGGAGAAATTGGAAAAGCCGTGGCGAAATTAGCAAAAGCTGCGTTACCGGTATTAATTCCCCTTTTAAATATGTTGGCGACGATCCTAAGTTGGGGAGCGAAAGGACTAGAATTTCTTTCGAAAAATTTATGGATTCTCGCGATCTTGATTGCAGGATACTTGTACGATTATTTTACGAAGAAGACGACGAAGGAGACAACAAAGAAGTAAAAAAAAAATTTTATTTCATTCCCATGAAATAAAAATATGGAAAGTCGAACAACTGAACTTAGTCCAAGTTTTATTCGTCGATCCAGGACGGAATTAGTGGGAAACCGAACGCGACATCTGATCACGTTCAATCCAAATTCGGCAAAACCCGGGGAAGAAATTTACGTGAATATTCCTAAACTTAAACCGGATTCCGTACTCGTTCCCGATAGTATGGCATTGATTTTTGACTTTAAAAATGCTAACGAAAAATCCTGGTTCCGGAATAATTTAGGGAAATTACTCAAAAAAAGATTAGAAATTCGTCTCGCCGGAGAAAAAGTTTACGATAACGGTGGTGAAAGTTTGTTGGAAATCTACAAAGACTTGTGGATGGATGAAAAACAACGGGCGGATCAAATTCAAGATGGAATTGCAACCGAAGCCGTTCGCAAAAAAATCTCTAAAGACGACGAAGCGAATGCCGATGCCGATGCCACCGCACTCTTTGGAATTTTCGGGACGAAACAACGCATGAAAATCACCAAGATTTTAGACGATCACGGATTGTACGCTCCGTACCATATGACAAACGATCTCCAATACGTGATCACGCTACCGCAAGCCTCGGAAATCATGAACGCCCAAAGGGGGGAAACCGTCGACGGATATTCCCTGGAAAATCTGGAATTGGAATACGAATCCATCGAGAATCTAAACCTCGCACGAAAATCCGAAAACTTATACGGAGCCGAACGCGAGTTGTCTTTCGAACACGCGACGTTGATGAAAAAGACCGAATGGGATAAGAGTCTGACGATCGTCAACGAAACTATCAATCTTCCGCGTCGAAGTATGAAAGCCGTCGTCATGCTCTTCACGGAAAAAACACCGACCGATAGCGAAGAATACATTTTTCCCAAAATCGAAAAAGTAAAAGTCACGATCGAAGGCGTCCCCAACGTCGTGTACAGTCAGGGAATGACGAAGACACGCATGTACGAAGAAGTCAAACGGCTTTTCGGAACCGATGCCAACGGACAACAATCTCTGATCAAATTTTACAAAGACAAAAAGTTTGCGTTGGTCATCGACTTGCGAACGGTGAACGATGCAAAAACGTATGGAAACGGGGTGAAAATTCAAAATACCCAATCCGGAATTCTAGTCGAAATCACGAAAAAAGCGACGACCGCCAACGTTCTCTGTTACACATTCGTTCTTTCCGACGGCGTGATTAAAATGGTGAACGGACAATTAAATGGAGTGCAATACTAAACTATCGTGAAACACGACAATTTTCATATTTTTTTAAAAATATGAAAAAAAATTCCCTATTCCGTTTTCCCCTCTTTTTCTCCTTCTACAGGTTCGTCTCCTTTCCTTCCGTGCACGTGTTTCACCGTCGTCACGCCACCACTTAAAATTCCCAAGTATGGAATGTACGGCGATAATTTTTCCACGAGACTTTTCACGTCGCTTTTTAATAATTTATCCTGACTTAATTCCTCTTTTAATTCTTCACCGCTATCGATCATACGAAGATTTTCCAATAATCCCGAAAATCTTTCGATCAACGTTTCCGTTAAAAGAACGTTCACTTTTTCACGCTGATTCATTTCGTATTCCCGTTTGATTTTTAAAATCACACGCGGGACCGCTTTTTTCAAATAATTCTCCGACTGTTTGATTTCACCCGCATTCGATAACCGAATTAATTCCGCCCTGGTTTCTTCTAAAATTTCCGCTTCGGTCTTTTGTTCGTTCGGAATTTCACCTTCCATTTTTTACTTATACTTTATTTCATGACGATACGGATGAATTAATTCTATCTCCAAATACGAATATTTATTTTCTTTTAATTTTTGACGAATCGTTTTTAATTCTGCAGGATCCGTATCACCCAAATAATCGTCCAGAATAATTTTCATGTCCTGTCTGTTCGGATTGTAAAACGTTACTAATTTCTGAATATTCTCGCGATACGGTTTCGCGATCGACGTTAACTGTTGTGTAATCACGATCGTTGAAATTCGACGATGACGTGCCCCGAATCCCAAACTCACTAATTCGCTCGTACGACCCTTGACGAATTTCGTACTCGCACAATCGTCCAGAATAATCAACGCGTCTTTTCCCGACGCATAATTCACGACGAATTCTAAGTTATACTCCACGTCGTCGTGATCGCACGGAATGACAAAAAAGTTAGGATCGTTCGCGATAAAATCCTGTTCGTACGTTTGATTCCAATGATATGTTGGACAGATTAAAAAAATCTCGGAAAATTCACGAAAATACGTCGTCTTTAATTCTTCGATCAGATAATGTGTTTTTCCACACGCCGTCATGCCCACGACGATCATGTTGAACGGTTTCATTTAATTAAAATGTGATGCTTGTCTTTTCAAAATCCGACGGAATGAAAAAACAGAATAAAAATCATAAGAGACGGAAAATGTTCAGTCTCGGGTTCGGATTCGATCGCGGTGATGCCACAACCAGTATTCACACGCAGATCGGATACATGAGTACCACCGTTAAAAATTACGATGGAATAAATGAAACTATTCCTGTGGAGAATGTTGCTGTGGATGTGTCTGATCAGCTGTCTTCTGATCCCGATCACATTCGAAATGTTACTGATCATCCTAATCCTGAATAAATTTTAATTCTACTTAAAGAATTAAAATCATACTGGTGGTGTGGATAATTCCATTTTTTTCTCACTTCGTTCTTCTTTCTCGCGACACATTCTCACCAATTTTGTTCCCACGAATACCAAAATGGATAACGCAGACGATGCACAGATCGCACACGTCGCCTATAAAACGTCCGCCTCGCGATCCGTTAAAGTTATGTTCGGGATCTCCGTTTCGTTTCTTCCACCCACCAATTTCATGGCGGAATAAATGACCGTTGTTGCAGGATTCATTTTTTATTTTTTTAATACTATTTACAGAAAAAAAAAAAAAAAATTTCCATACTCCGGACGAGTATGGAAAAAAAAAAATGGTTAGTAATACAAGTCTGAGTTTCGAACGTCTTTATTATATACTTCTAAAGAAAAATTATTTTTTTTATTTACAACGAGCATTTTCCGACGATTTCCGAAGATGGTCCGACGAATGTGGGAGAATGGGGAGACAGATCTTCAGAAAAACCGTGGGGAAAACCGAACGTTCCCCTCATTCTTTTCCACCGTCTCTCATAAATACTTGATGAACACCAACACGCGATTTCACTACGATTCTTCGTAGCGAAATTTTAAAGTGTCGTAGGAAGGTCCTCACAGGAAATCCTCACAACGACTTGGGGACGAACGGGAACGACGACTTGAGGACGAAAGACTTGGGGAAAATTTTTTACAAAGATTCCAACCATGACTTGAAAAAACAGGGGGTGGGGAAAGTTTTTGAAAATATTCGGGAAATGTGGGGGCGGGGAATTTATAGAAAACGGGGAGGAGAGAATGTGTTTGGAATATATAAGGTGGAGACACTATATTTTGTCTTACATGAAGTATTGTGTCTGAGGCCCCCCTTCATACTATTAATAATGATTTTGACTTTGCATTTGTGCGCAATTTCAGATACAGTCTGATGCCGTTTTCAGTTCTGTTTACATTACAGTATCTTTTTTGTATGATTGTGTTGGAAGGGTAATTTAAAGGCCCATACACCACGCTCAGTTTTGGTTGTCGTACCATTTTTACCTATTTACAAAGGTCGCGTACGGATAAATTTGGTACGGGTACCACTTTTACCAGTGCTGTACCAAGAATTTAGCGTGGTGTAAACGGGGCTCCAGCCTTGAGATGTCAGTTGAAAATATACCCAGAACTTTTCAGTCAGATTTCTTATACAGTAGAGGTCCCGGCCCTAGGAGTAGGCAAAGAAACAAACAAATTATAAGGGGCCACACGAACAAGCATCAGCGGGGGAAACCTCCACGGGTCTTTTTCGAAGGCTCTTTAGACATGCACTGCAAAAATCCCTCAGTCATACCTCGGCCGAGGTGCCACAGAATACAACCTCAAAATTTTGTTTAGAGTATTCACATTAGCCTAGCTTGTTCTTCTGTTAGAGCATCCCATGGATTGTTGTGCAAATTTTAACTTTTTTTTCAAAATGCATTTGACTGTTGAAGAGTAAGGCACTACCTCATAATCTGTTTTCCACATTTAAATGGACAGTTCCAAATTTTTCTTTGGAAAACACCATGTATGACGTATATACCCAAAGTATTATTCATTCAAGCCCCGTTTACACTACGCTCAATTTTTGGTACGTTACGGATAAAATTGGTACCCGTACCACTTTTTTGGTTCTTGGACTACCTATTTAGGTAGTCCAAGAACCAAACAAGTGGTACGGTACCAAAAATCGAGCGTAGTGTAAACGGGGCTTAATTTTGCTAGGTTTTTGAAACGAAAAAAGTGGTACCGATACCAATTTTATCCGTGCCGTACCAAAAATCGAGCGTAGTGTAAACGGGGCTTCAGTTGGGTTTTTTTTCTTTGCCACATAACTCACATTCAGTTTTGATTTGAAAGCTATACATTTGTAAGGTGTGGTATATTGAGAAAGTTTTGTTAATTTCCATTTTACAGCATTGTTTTTGACATTTAGGTGTGATCACTATTTCAATATCAGAGACGTCAACACTGAACAAAGCGTCAAAGCCTGGCCGTGTTAGTCATGATCGAATTTGAATCGAATCAGTGGCTAAATGTAAACAGTACAAGACGATTTTACTTGTCAAGAGAGAGCACTACTGCTCAATGGGTTAAGGACCAAATTTGCCATGCGAATCTAAACCCACCCGTGGCCCAGACTTGAAGATATCAAGCGTGGCATATCTTATGGCAAGACTTTCCTAAAAATATTCGTTTTTTCATAGGAAAAAACATCATGCACAGCAAAATAGTTTGACCCACATATCCATGCAAGGGCACCTATAGCCTGAGAGTATGCCCTCACTGATATGGCGTCAGATTTCCGCCAATATTCATGTTGATATTAATTCAACATGTTTCCGTATTGAAGTGAATTTCGACATTGAACATATCAAATTCAGCATGCCACTTTAATTCAACATTGCTTCAATTTCAACATGTTTCTCTCATTGATGTTAATTTGAATATTGAACGTGTCAAATTTAAGTGAAATACAACATTGAAGTATAGATATTGAAGTGATTTTCAATGTTGAAGTTTCAAAACAGGTTGAAAACGCATCACTACATGAATTTGAGAAGTGGATATTGGCGGTTATATAGCACCGCGTTAAATATCCGCCAATATTAATTAGCACTTCGTTAAACTTCCCCCCTGGCAGATTCTTATATGGCGGCTACGAACGAGCGGAATCAGTGATGAAAATCATGGTGCACTGAACATTATTGAGGATATAATATCACGATTAGACAGCTAGCCTTGGTGACCCAGATTGTGTAGAGGGATTGGCAATACGATTTGACGTTTTAAAGAGATATCTTGTAAATATTAGAATCGACGACATCTGCATGCACTTTGGAATTGCTGGATACAGGGTTTGACAAACTTTAAACCAATTTGAGCAGCTGCAGCGCTATTCCGCCATGAATAACTCTGCATTTCCAGCACAAAGTTTATGCCGTGGAAAACCTTCGTAGGTCCTTCGTGTGATATACACGAGGGGCAATTGAATTTTTTATAGCGAAGTAAGCAGTATGATGGGTGTACGCAAAGTAACTTTGGAGCGGCGAATGAGGTCATTTAGGCACGAGTGTGCCAGGTAAGAAAGTTATGCACATCCTACACGGCCGACACAGTAATTATATATGCAACACGAGTACTGTATATATAGAGTCTTATCATCAGGATTTAATATGATTGACTGCACATTAAGTTTTATACAGAGCTACAGCATAGAATGAGAACGAGAATACCTAGGTATTTACATCTTTCATCTGCACTTCATTTTTTACCGTTTGAAGAAAAAGGTTAGCTTAGTAATGCACTGCTGAGAAGACATAAAAAGCCTTAAAGCCCATGTTAGTGGCAGCAGGGCGGTTGGTGGCAGTCAGTCCACTCCAGGAACTTGGCATTTCGGATTAATTCATGAAAACTTGAATTTTATTGAAAACTGAACTTTCCAGTCCTGTTTTCGTTTAAGGTCGGCAAACTGCAAATGACCTGATCAGTCTTCGCCAATTCAGAGGTCAGTGTCTAGATTTTTTCACTAACACCAATTCCCACACAAGAAAGTTGTGGTTTCATGTACATGTACGGCATTACATTTATATCAGTTTCCCTAGGTTTGTCGACTTGGGTTTCAACATATACAGTGCTGCATAACCACTGTGTTGGCCGTGTATAGGATGTGCATAAGCCATAACTTTCTTACCTGACACACTCGTGCCAAATGACCTCATTCGTCGCTCCAAAGTTATTTTGCGTACACCCATCATACTGCTTACTTCGCTATAAAAAATACAATTGCCCCTCGTGTATATCATGCGAAGGACTTACGAAGGTTTTCCACGGCATAAACTTGTGCTGGAAATGCAGAGTTATTCATGGCGGAATAGCGCTGCCGCTGCTCAAATTGGTTTAAAGTTTTGCAAACCCTGTATCCAGCAATTCCAAAGTGCATGCAGATGTCGTCGATTCTAATATTTACGAGATATCTCTTTAAAACGTCAAATCGTATTGCCAATCCCTCTACACAATCTGGGTCACCAAGGCTAGCTGTCTAATCGTGATATTATATCCTCAATAATGTTCAGTGCACCATGATTTTCATCACTGATTCCGCTCGTTCGTAGCCGCCATATAGGAATATGCGAGGGGGGAAGTATAACGAAGTGCTAATTAATATTGGCGGATATTTAACCACGGTTACAATATTCACTTCTCAAATTCATGTAGTGATGCGTTTTCAACATGTTTTGAAACTTCAACATTGAAAATTACTTCAATATCTATACTTCAATGTTGTATTTCACTTAAATTTGAGACGTTCAATATTCAAATTAACATCAATGAGGGAAACATGTTGAAATTGAAGCAATGTTGAATTAAAGTGGCATGTTGAATTTGATATGTTCAATGTCGAAATTCACTTCAATACGGAAACATGCTGAATTAATACCAACATGAATATTGGCGGAAATCTGACGCCATACACTGATAGGTAATTTTAAAATCTTTGTGGACTCTATTTTTTTAATTGTCTAAACTGAACAAATGAAAGTATAGTGGCTTGGCTAACAATTGTCAAACGTATAGTTATTTGATTTGACTATATGCAGAACACTATGAATTCAGACCATTATAATTTTGTTGAATGTTGTACATGTACTCTATGTCCCAGCTATAGTACTATAAAAGGTGCAAGTGATTAGAGCCATTCGATCGTCAGACACCACCTGGCTTTGGGGAATAAATGTATTTTTCCGAATCACGTGTATTGTGTGCATTAAATTGCTAAATTTCCGATAAATCACAAGGCCTGGAATTTCCCTTTTGATGGCAATGATCTCAAATGACCTCAAAAATGCTGTTTATGCATGTGTCATCAGCTTCCCAGACTGGCTGTGCTGGGATGATTTGATTACTTTAAATGAATTTTTGCCTGAGATGTGGGGAAAACATGGGGTCTTGCTATTATCCTCATTTTGTTATATATGACTAAACAACCAGTTTCACACATACTGTAAGATTAACTGTAAATAGTGGAAAAGAGGCAAAATTCCAATATTCTAGCACACTCTGACACTTCACTGGCACAAATAAAATACTATCAATCCTGTACCCAGGCTCTTTCCTCTGAAATTCTTGTGAATAATACTCAGGCAGTCAGGGGACATGGGGTTGGGGACTTTTCAAAATAATTAACCTGCGGGGTGTGGAACAGTGCAGCATCATAAAATAGCATATTTTACAAACTGCCTCACTATATTGCTGGTGGTCTAGCACCTTGGTCGGGAAAACCAATGACACAATGCATTAGTGCAGCAGCTCTCTCAGCCATGGCGCAACATTACAAGTTCTTACAAGGGCCTAACTCCGAATTCAAATGTGAAAATTTGAATTAATTACAGTTTACAGTTCAACACCATAATGTGGAGAGCGCAGTCCTCGACATTAGCATTTATAGCGACGGCAAATGGCAATTGCCGCCGATAATGCTGCCGAAAATGAAATAATCGATGGCAATTTTTTGTTGTCCACATGGATACCAAGGTTTTAAAATTTGGTATCCCTCCCGATAATCCAGTATCCCAAATCTGGATACTTAACTAGTTGGCTTTTCGTATCCCAGGGCCAGACCCAACATCACTTAGTATACTCTTAGTCAAGCATTGTCATCCATCGCATTTTATGTTTAATAGGCTATACTAGAATACTAAAAGGAACTTATACAGTTCAATTTCTTGACAGTTAACAGGGTTATTTAATTATAAATTAGGTCTAAGTGTCAACTTCACTGATATTTAATGCTATCACAAAGGTTCCAACCCTCCCGATTTGATCGGGAGGCTCCCGATTTCTTGGCAAATCTCCCGATCTCCCGATTTATATTTAAACCTCCCGATTTTACGAATGAAAAGAAAAAATGTTACTTTTTACTCGCTGGGGCACTGTGCCCCAGACGAGTATAGGTTTCGGCTTGCATTTTTCGCGGATCGGCAATCTCTAATAGTGGATCTCCAATCGTCGATAGCCACGAAATAGAATATTTTAATATAATATGATATTCATTAAAATGAGCTGCTTGACCTTTTCAAAATGGTGGGGACTTTCGTGGAGAAGGCAAAATGTTTCAAACAATTTCGTGAAAATTTTGAATCAATTGTACCTGTTTTCTATGGATTTTGCATTGTGTCTAACTCTGGACATTCTCGCTATTTTATTTAATACGTTTTTCTTGGTGCACGACTCTGAAAATACGAAATTTGGATCGTTGAATTCCCGTTAATATAATATACTGTCTACTGAATCTGAATATAGACGAGCCAAAGGCAAAGACAATTTCAAGGTAAAAGGTTATAACTTAAATCTATAACTTAAACTGCACAACGTAGTTTTAATAAATAACTACTTTATGAGAAGCATATTGGTGTCATTACTCATATCAATATGAAATTTGTCGAACAACAGTCCGTGAAAACTGCAGTGTACTCAGTGTGAAATATGATATATTTGTATTTGTAATGCCTATTAATGGCGCAATATAAGGATAAAAATACCACCGTTCGATTCAGCGTAAGAAATTGTACTTACGGATGCCAAATGTATTACTAAACAACAGTATTCTAGCAATTTATGGCCTTTGAAATTGTATTTACGGATGTCAAATGTGTTGCTAAACACCAGTATTCTAGCGATTCTATTTCGTCATCAGCCTAAGTCGTGTGACGTTGTACGAGAGAGAGTGGAGCGCATGCGCCAATCAGTTGTGTTGTTCACGCGCCAGTGATCAGTTAATATTTTTGGAGCTCGAAGAATTGTACTTGGAATCAGTCCTGAATTGTGTTTGAAACCCACCCAAAGACGGAGAATTCAGCTAAGTTTCTATCTTAATGTTATAGTGTCTCACTAGTGTAAATTAATTTAGAATGTCGGCTTGCGAAGGCGAAGATATGGTAGCCTGCGAACAGGCTCTCAAGCTGAATTGAGAGCCTGCATCGATGACTAATCAATTTGAATATCTGCCCCGTAACGTTCGTTTTTCCAAATATGGAATGTCTATCCTTATATGGTGTTGTTTACAACTTTCGTGCAAACTAAATTTAGACCATGCAAACTAAATTTAGACCGTACAGTTTATAGTGTTTTTCGAAATATAAGATATCGAAGCAAAAGTTTAAATGTTTTAAATACTGTTTTCTCAAAACAGAACATTTCGTGCTTTGAGATAAGATGGCCAAGACCAATTTGATCAGTTAATGTGTTTTTTATGCATAGTGCTTGGCAGTTGACATATATAGAGCTCAGCGGAATAATATAAATTATAGCATCTGACCAATGAGAATTTCGCGTCACGATTTGAGACGCAGATATTCAAATTCATTAGTCATCGATGCAGGCTCTCAATACAGCTTGAGAGCCTGTTCGCAGGCTAAAGATATGGCTGATATATTTCCGGCTGGCGAGCGGGAAGACCCTCCGCCACAGCAGTCGTCCAGTAACGGCTCAACGAGCACAAACGACGATCTTTTGTTTTCTTTTCTTCGCGATATGCAACAAGACATGCAATTTACGCATAAATTGTTGGCACAAATGCTTACGCAAGGCAACGCAAGCTCATCTCAAGGAGATGAAAATTTTGGCGGGAAACGCAAAGCCACGATGCTTGAGGACGACGGTCAGGCTAACACTAAAAAACGTAGTAAGAATACTCACTCAGCTTCAGAGAAAGCACCAAAAGACGCTTCAGAGAAAGCAATAGATAACGCTTCAGAGAAAGCACAAGAAGTCTTTTCAGACGATGAAGTGCATGATCGGACTCAAGATGAGTCGAACATAAATGAGGACGACAGATTAAGCGTCCATGCGGGAGAAGATGATCAAATTGATCAAGCTGAACTAGTTTTCGATGAGCGTGAGGAGGATGAAGATCTTCTAGCGGTTATCAATGAGTCTTTAAACCCTTCCGATGAAACTGGGGCCCCTGTTTCAGAGCGCTTGGCCAAACTGGTGAATGAAAAATTCACACTTGAGTTTGATTTACAGAAACGTAAATCCATAATGGAGAACTATAGGACTCCTAAGAATTGTGCCCAATTTCTTTCCCCCCGGGTAAACCCTGAGATTTGGGGGAGATTACAAAGTTCTGTCAAGAGAACAGATATCAAATCATCTGTGTTGCAAGATATCTTGCTAAGTGTATCCTCTGCTATAATAAATACAATGGAGGCTTTGCTTGACAGCAGAGAAAAGAAAGCCTTGCCAAATTATAAGGCACTTTTGTCAAATTTGACAGATTCTATTGCCCTCCTAGGGCATGTGCACAGAGAGATGTCGTTTAATCGTAGAGATTATTTCCGGTCTCACCTAAATCCTGAATTTCGGCAAGCATGCTCCCAGGTTGTTAAGCCCACTGGTTCTTATTTGGGGATGATCTATCCAAGACCATCCAAGATATCCGAACCACAAACAAAGTTGTTAATACTGTGTCCCAGGGAACTCCTTACTATCGTGAGTCATTCCGCTTCCAGAGCCCCCAACCATATCAGACAACAGCCTGTAAACCTTTTTTATGGCAAAGGGGGAGGGGGACATACCCACACAGGAACAACTTCCGCCAAGGTTTTCGTCAACCACAGCCGTCCTCAGCCCCTCTCAAAAAGAAAGTTATGAACACATCATGTTTTTAAAGACTCAGCCTCAGGTAAATAGTTTTTCTGCTTTTATGGAGGGCCCATTTAAATTATATGTTATGTCAAAGATGCTTATTATAGTGTTAAAGTGGACCCAGCTTATCAAAAATACCTAAAGTTCTTCTATAGAGGCAAGTTGTATAAATACTTAGCACTTCCCAATGGTTTGGCTACATGCCCTAGAAAATTTACCAAACTTATGAAACCACCACTGGCAAAAACTGAGAGCGATGCATCATATTATTAGTGGGTATATTGATGACTTCTACTTGCAGGGTCATACATATGCCAGGTGTGCTAGAAATGTTCTTGACACTGTTTGACAACCTAGGTTTAGTTATTCATCCTGATAAGTCAGTACAGTTACCTCCCCATCACAAGAAGTTATTATTCTGGGGTTTGTTATAAATTCCATAACCATGACTATTAGAGTTACAAATGCGAAGAAGGAAAGAATCAAAACGTTTTTGATAGCGGCTATTGAAAATCCCATAGATATTTCTATAAGGCAGGTAGCTAAGATTATTGGTTACCTAGTCTCCACCTTACCTGGAGTCCAGTATGGAGCTCTGTACTACCGATACCTTGAAATGGACAAAGTATCAGCTCTAAAAATATCAAAAGGTAATTTTGATGCCCCCATGACTATTTCTAAGGATGGCCTTGTAGAGTTGAGATGGTGGGTTAATCATATAGACGAAAGTTTTAATTATCTTATGATTCCCCCAATCGACATTACAATATACTCTGATGCATCCTTACAAGGATGGGGAGCAGTACTAGGTGATACATCTTCAGGGGGAGGTGGTCACCTGATGAATGCACAAATCACATCAATTATCTTGAACTTCTGGCTGCATTTTTTGCCCTAAAATCGTTTTGCAGGGGTAAGCATGTAAAACTCATGATAGATAATACAACAGCAGTAGCAGTAATTAACAACATGGGGTCTTGCCATAGTCGTGCCTGTCACTCGGTTGGTTGCCAGATCTGGCAATTTTGTGTAGAATATAACATTTGGCTTACCGCTGCTCACATTCCTGGTGCTAAAAATGTCTTAGCAGATAAAGAATCGCGCCATTTTCAGAGTCAGGATAAAGAATGGAAACTTAATCCACTGTCATTATATGATGCGCTCAATAATTTCAACCTGAGATAGATCTTTTTGCATCACGCTTAAATAAGCAGTTTTCTCTATATTGCTCTTACAGGCCAGACCCTGAAGCAATGTTTGTTGATGCATTTTCTATCTCATGGGCTGACTCAAAGTTTTATTGTTTCCCTCCGTTTAGTTGTTTGTTACAGGCCGTGAAGAAAATAATTCAGGAGCATGCCCAGGGAATTTTAGTTGTCCCAGACTGGCCCACCCAGCCTTGGTATCCACTGTTGGCCCCGCTTCATGTTCAACCTCCAGTGGTTCTGGAACCCAGTCGCACACTGCTGACCCTTTGTCACTCTCCGAAAATAATTCATCCCCTTTGCAGAAAGCTGAAACTTTTAGTATGTCATGTCTAAGGCGACAATTACAACAACGAGGCTACTCGTTAAGATCCATCGAAATCATTGAATCATCATGGAGGGATAGCACAAAATCTCAATACCAAGTGCATCTACAAAAATGGTTACAATTTTGTATGGAGAGGGATTGTGATATCATCTCCCCCAACTTACCACAGGCGTTAGATTTTCTGTCATCTCTGTTTGACTCGGGTTTATCTTATAGCTCACTAAATTCGGTGAGGTGTGCTGTATCTACTATTCTGCAGCTAAGTGATAGTGCAGTAACTTTTGGACAGTTACCTATTGTCAAGCGTTTTATGAAAGGTATATTCGAACTGCGTCCGGCACTCCCTCGTTACCAGACAACCTGGGATGTCAGTAAAGTTTTAGATTTTTTCCGAAAGCAGTCTATGCCTTCAGCGTTGACTTTAAAAGACCTTACTGTTAAAGTTACCTTTTTGTTATCTTTACTAAGTGGACAGCGCTGTCAAACAATTCACGTTTTAACTGTCGATAATATGATTCTCATGGCTGATAAGTGCACTTTTCACGTCAGGGAGAAAGTAAAACAGACGCGTGTTGGAACCCATGTGAAACCCCTCGAGTTTCTTTGCGTCGTTACGCATCTCTTAGAGTATGTCAAGAGAACTGCCTGTACTAGGAACGATACAAAGCAATTGCTATTTAGTCACGTAAAACCATATGGACCTGTCTCCAAAGATACAATCTCTCGGTGGATAAAATCTGTTTTGTCATCTGCGGGTTTAGATGTTACCAAATTTAAGAGCCACAGTGTTCGGGCAGCATCTACATCATTTCTAGCGTTAAATAACTGTAATATTAAGGATATTATGTTATCA